AAAGAGGAAGATAAGCTGCGTCGGATAGTGCCTAAAAGGTTTCTCCATCTTTATTCCACGTGTTTTTATGATATGTTGAAAAAACGGAAAGAAATTTTGGAACGACCTGATATTTTAACTTTGTTGCAGAATGCTACGTTACGAAATAAAGGATACAATACTCAGAAACAATGCTTGTAACAGAAGAGCACCATTTATCTAAAGAGCCATTTCCTTGACATTACAAGGATAACGGAAAATGATGTCGTACATTTTGAGCATGAGTCCTCCCAATATAATTTATGAACTAGTTGGATTGAAAAGGATCTTGCTTTTATTTGCTGAATGTCTTTGAATTATCCAAGTGAATGCGAAAAATTCTAAAGTGACAACCTTTTCAACCTTGAGCGACTTCTTCGTTTTGTAATCATTGCCAAAATATGCGAATTGAGATATTACACAGCAAATGTTTTATCTTTGAACAAACAGCAAACGGTAGCGTTGTAGAGAGCGTCAAAAAAATTTGTCTAATTTTCATATAAACAGTTGCGTTTCATCTCAGCACCGCACAAATATTCGTTTAAATATAAAATTAATCGAGCGGAAATAAGAGAAGTTTAAAGCGGCTCAGGAATCAAGCACTGACGAGGAAGCATGCACTTTGACGCTGCACTTATTGCTCGTTCGCTGGCGAAGAGTTCCGCAATTATAGCTCATCAAGAAGTTGAAGATGCCATCAAAAACGCTCAACAACCATGAAAAAAAGATAGTGAACCATATTATTGTTCTTGCACTTATTTTTCAACAATTTTTTTCTTTTAATCTGATTTTAAACTCGCATTTTCTAGTTATTTTTCCTCAATTAGTAATGTGACTTTGATAGTGAACAACAGATACTTACAACCACATACTTACTTACAACTTCAGAATAAATCGCAAATGAACTGTAAAGTTCTCAATCCATAAAAAACTCAAGAAGCTTGAAAACATGGAAAGGGATATTTATTGCAATTGAAACTTTCTCAGTAGAAGAATGATGCACTGATAAAAAGTGCAGTAAGAAGGGGAGGGACGGAAGTAGCAAACAGGAAATATTTCATCTCATTTATATGTTGAGAGAGAAGTAGAAAAATATTTCATTCCAAGCAAAGCACATCATATATTGTTGTTGATTTATTGAACTTTAAGGATCATTGTTCTGAAAAGCGTTGGGATTAACTGATGTCAAAACGTGCACAATGATTTAGGAGCCCAAATCTTCAGAATTTTTCGACAGTTAAGGATAGATCATTAGAGGAGCTGAGCAAAATTTGATTCCTTTATATTAGAAAAGAGCGTATTTCCAATGTTGATGGATGTCGTTGGCTGCAACTTGCTTTCCTGATGGATGAGATTTATGTAAATTCTTGTGGTGCATGCTAATGCCTCATGCTTTCGCTTTGCTGGAAAGCGCACATAAATTCATGCTTTCTTTGACCAGATTGCTAACTTTACTCGACTAGAATATATTGATTACGAGTATCCAAGATCTAGATAAATACTGCGAAAAAATTTTACGGAGGAAAGCGAACGCTGGGGCAAAGAACAGCCGAAATTGCCCGGACAATTTGGAAACCGTATACATCACAGACATCAATTTTGGCTCCTCTAAAGCTGAGTCGTTGATGCACGGCCTAAGGCGATTAATCACGAATCGCTTGCACTTATTTTCGCAAACATAGCTCAATTTGTCTAAAAACTATAAATAAGAAGGTCAATTGCAATTTGACAATGAGCCGCCACTTGAGATGCGTGTTTACCCGCACTTGATAAATCACGAGCAAGGGTTTTTCGAAGCATTTTTGCTTTTCTTGAAGCGTTCCGACAACAGTGTCTGAATAAGAACTACTTTGATAAAATGAGAAATTTTCCTACATAGTGGTGAACGGCCAAGTTGCATGGAATTTTCAAAAAAATATTTATTTTATCCGCAATAGAATGAACGCTAACAATGCATTCTAGGCCTAAAAATCCCTAACAATGAGGTGATTAGATTTTTGTTTGGTCTCACGAGCTAGAGAATTACCTATGTCTTTTCACAGTACTACAGAAACTTGGGTGCTTGATTTTTCGTGAAGATTTAAAGCCATCGGCAATTTCTGCAGACTTTTCTTTTATATTCTGTGCAGTTATTGCTATACGCTATCAGATTACGATGGTACAAAAATATTGTAAGGAAAAGCGAGATCCATCTATAAATCTGAAAAAATTGAAAGCTTGCATGACTCAGAAGTCCGATGACACGATTTTTTCGGCTGACAAGTCCCGCCATCAAGTCTCAATGGCACTGATTGTTCACATTTTGGCACATCGGATATTCGTCTCTATGTCGATCAAATAACTTCCAAAGATTTTCCAAAAAAAATGGGAAAATAATTTTTATATTTTACTTTGTTCTTCAGAGGGTAGCATGGTACTAAACAGTGAAAGCGTTAAAATGGGTTTTATAGATTCGTAATTGAAATTTTATCTGAAGGATTTAGAGCTCTAATATGCAGGATAATTAAACTCAAGTGCGAACTTCTAGAGCTTATTTGTCGTCCAACAAAAAATCAGGAAAAAGGTTAAATGTGCTCCAGTATTCATTTTTCTCTCGCGGTTTCATAGAGGTTTCTCTGGCAGTTCTTTGATCCCCAAAAAAAGTAGCCCTTTTGCGTAAAAACCTTAGCCAGACTGCAGCAGAATTCGAGTTTGTCATATGTGTCCAAATCAAATTATATAGATGGCTGAGATGTCAAGAAAATAAACGGTAGAGACTGAGAAGCAGTTCAGTTTCCAGGCTTCTGGTCTAGTGGACCGCAGCAGCATAGTAGGTGAAAGATGATTGATTATAGAGTGTCTTCTTTTGCATTTTTTGAAGAAAACCTATAAAATGTAAAGCCAGGAAAGTGCTCCACATCGCTAAGTTCAGATATGACAAACAAAAGTTCGAATTTTCGCGAATCTTCTTGAGGCACCATTGATGAAAAAAATCTGCGTATAGTATAAAAATAAACCCAAAGTAGTAGCCTAAAATGAATAAATTATCTTGTATTGCAAAAAACCACATTTTTGCTCGAAAATGCGCAGCAGAGCAAATAGTGATCTAAAAATTCTGGAACAAAACACATTGTCTTCTATGGTGAGCTGGAGCATTCAGCTGCGAATAGCTATGAATTTTAGTGATAAATCGGACCAACCAAAGGCTGGGAGGTAAAGTGATAAAAAGAGCTATGTGATGTAAAAATCAATAACAATTTCCTGACGGGCATGTGCAATAAATAACTTGGATTGAGAGCGTCACTGCTTTTTTTGTAGCACTTTACACCTTCTTTGATTACGTTCGGACCTGGATGTGTCTTTTCACATATAGATCAACTATATCAAAGTACACAAAGAAGGGTTTTTCTGTTTTATTCAGTAATACTTAGTTATACATGTAAAAATAGAGATGAAATTGATTTATACAGGTGAACTGTGAACAGTATTTTAGACATAAACGATAGTCAAGGTTATATGTCGTGTTTGAAAGACAAATACCCGTTGGCGAGAACAGACGAGGTGACGAATGAAGGCTGTTACACATTATCGGGTCCTTGTAAGCAAGCGCTTCGATAAATCACAACTGTTTAGTCAGTTGTAACAAATATTGTGCACATAGGTCTGCAAGTGACACATTGAAATTTAGCACAAGAGTTAATCTAGAAATCTGAACAATTTCAGGAATTAAATCCTCTGATAGATTCTGCAGCGGTTTGAAATTTCGAAAAAAAAAGCAAATAGCAAATGCACCAGTCGACGGCAGCACGTTGCAAGATCGTTTGCGCTCCACTTGTCAAAGCATGATATCTGACGTGATCCGACCGCAAATAAACCGGTTTTAGCCACCGGCGATCTTTTAATTAGCATCCAACTTTCGAAACACGAGGACAAAGAAGAGGCTCGAGATGTCAGATTGAAATTTCGCCATTTGAAAAGGAAGAAAATTTTAAATTCCAGACATTATTTGTGCTCGATCGCTCACTCCTTTGGAACGCAGCCTCTATGGTAGGTATGTTCCATGGTAGGTCAAAATCTGGTCAAAGCAGATCACAATCCCTCACACGCAGAAAGTATAGCAAAGGAAGTGCATTGCTGTCAAATTACAATTAATAAAGCATTCAAAACAGTGTCCCGGCAAAATTCACTTTTCAGATTTCACTTTCTTTTCGGAGCCTTCTCGCCATGATGAACCCATATCTGGGCTTTTGAACTTGTGAAAATGGCGAAAACGAGCTTTTTCGAAGTCTTCCATGTTCACATTGCTAGAAAATGCGTCTAAGTGGCTGGGATCCGGAACAAGGGGATAGGGTTCTAAAGACTTCCGAGTGGATTTTAGGCCTTCCAAAAGCTCTTTTTTGCTCCAGACTTCACTGCTAGAATAGTTGGGAGGTCTGCTATTGCAGCTTTTTAAAATCCCAGTACCCATGAATTTGTCGTTCAAGCATTCCCTTCCAGTGCATTAAAAGTTTCAAGAAAGTTCTCGAAAAAAGCGAGAAAAAACAAGGGTTAGAAAATCTTGCATAAAACTTTCGCAAAAACAGCCACCTCTTGACACTCAACAGTAATCACCCTTTATAAAATATTGAAAACATGACAACTATGAACAAACAGTAATAACTCAGTAATGACATGGCATGCACGACATTGGCAATATGCCAATGCTCTAAAAAAATTGGTTGCAAATCGTTGATATTTTTGACACTTCGACAGTAAAAATAAGACAAATGAGCTTTGAGCTCTAATATCATTACACGTTGTCATAAAAGATAAAGCAAATCAGCATTTTTTGAAAGACGATTTCGTTATCGTAGAGAAAGGCAAGAAGAACTACAGTCAGTGACGGGAGAACTATCAAAAAATAGGAATGAACTACTATTGGTAAATTTAAGCAGATGTGAGTAGAAGATCTCTATGGATTATTACATCTCTGTGATGGACACAGAACCAGAAGCGATACGGTATTAGTGACGCCTCTTCTTGTACTTACGTCGCTTGTTTCGACCAAGCTTTTGTTGCACAATGCCATCTATGACACTCCTTCTTTCCTCGTCCGTTTCTGCATTTTTCAAGCCAAAATACCTGGAAATAGCTCATTTAGTGTTTTATTGTTTCTAGTCGTAAATGATAATTTTACATTCTTATGAGCATTTTCTACTCGGTTACGTTTTCACTTTTGAGCGTGAAAAAACAAGTGGGAAGATGTCTAAAGTATCCATTCCAGAAATTGTTCGAAATATTTTCCAGCAAAAATTCTTACAATTCTTAGCGGACAAATATGATCAGCGCCGTTTGAATTGCAAAAACTCGCAATATGCCATTTGCATCTTTGTCCAACTTTTTCCCAATTTTTGGTATTGACTTTCAAAACCAGCAAAAATCGCTTTGTGGGCCATCGCATAGAAGTTGTCACTTTCACTGGAGTTCCATTAATCTTGCGGAAGATTGACGTACAATAATGATCGGAAAGCTTTCTGTTTGAATTTGAAAGAATCCACGATTTTTGGCTTTTTGTAGTAATTGGAACTCTTTGTGGACTTTGTTAGGAATTCGTCACTTTACTGACTTTCATTAATCTCGCGGACAGCTTGGTATCCGATTATGATCGAAAAACTTTCTATATCAAGGTTGCAAAGATCCACGAATTTTGGATTTTTGTGGTAATTGAAACTTATGCCTTCAGCAAATATGTGTAATTTTATAGCTCATTGGTTATGGCATGAATCACGTTGATCTTGAGACATACGAAAATTTCAGTAGCCAAGAACAGCTCAGTTTTGGAGGAGAAAACGGGAACTTCCAAAGCCTTAAAACGCACATTTCCTCTTCCATAAATATGACTAGCCTTTTATGTTTTCTTTCTGGAAGTGATGAAAACACTGGAAAAATTCAAAAATTTGGAGTGACCTAATCTGCGTAGAGAAAATTTTGCTCAAACATTCTATCAAAAAGTCAGGTGAATCCAACCTTGCTATCCTTGTAGAATGAAAGCAGTCTTCCACATCCACATCGACAACCCGAGTACATGATTTGATGCCTTCGATTTCTATAATTTGAGAAATCGTTTCTAAAACTTTTGATTTCTCAGCTCTACCTTCACAAACAAGAGTTCCACAGCTCTTGGCACACAACAGACGGACTCTTTGCCAGTGGCTATCGCAGAGCCCGTTGAGGGACCACTCACAACATCTTTTACTGTGATCACGAGCTTTCTCTAAAAGTCCAGTTATTTGATCTTAGTTCATACGAAAACTACAGTTATCACCAGGCTGGATATCGGCGATTATTTTTCTATGTGAGTTTGGATCAGTAAACTGTTGAATTCGCCGTTCTGGAAAAGTCTGCAAACTTTGCAAATCAGCGTCAAATGTACCAACATTGGAGGCCGAACGAAGGGGCGAGTGAGGAGGCGAAACCTGTAAGGACACAGATATTCTATAAACTATTATTGAATTAAGCTATATTAAGCTAATTACCAAGGTGGTAAGATGGTAAAAATGACAGAGAGATAGCTTACGGGTTTCGGCTACAGGCATTCGTCAGAGCTGCGGAATTTTATTGAAACTATACCATCTACAATCTTAATATGTAATTAGCTATTCTAATTCAAATATAGTAATTTAAATATGCCAAGGTTATTGAAGGGTCGGACTTGAATGTACTATGAACTATTTGCAGACCAACAAATTGGCACTTCCAATTTACAAGAATTTGTCGTAAGTAGTATGAACCTGATAGACAATGTCCAAGCAAAACTGTGTCTTTGGGCACTTCATCTGTAAAGTGACTGGAATTGCTAACTAAGCCATTGCCTAACCAACACAGCTCACAAGATGCATTCGCAGACAAGAAATTTGATTTTAAACTCTCGCTCAGACAGTACGCTTTCAGCGCGGATCGATAGGGGTCCTAGAATGCGGTAGAAAGCATGGTCTAGTCTTTTTTACAGCTGCGCTTCTTAGGCCCTGGCCATACTTCGCTCAAAAGCGCCCAAAAGCGCCCAAAAGCGCTCAAAAGCGCCCAGAAGCGCACAAAAGCGCTCAAAAGCGCGCAAAAGCGCCCAAAAGCACTCAAAAGCGCGCAAAAGCGCTCAAAAGCGCGCAAAAGCGCCCAAACTTCTCTAACCTCTCCTACTCCCTCTCATCTCTCCTCAAACGAGAAAGTGAAGAGACACCAGAGAAATTTGGGCGCTTTTGCGCGCTTTTAAGCGCTTTTGGGCGCTTTTGAGCGCTTTTCGGCGCTTTTGAGCGAAGTCTGGCCAGGGCCTTAAAGTTAACCCATCATGTTCTACATGAGAAGTACAGTTACCATTACCTGGACAGTGCCTTATATTACATTGCAAATGAGATGCTTACAGTAAATGAGAGGACCGGAAATGTTTACCTACCTCGAAACGCGTCCCTTCTCCATTTTCAGTATTCCCAGAAAGAATGATAGGTTCTTCTATTCCATTTTCATCGGCAGTTTTCTGCATTGACGAAAAAGGCACAAGGAAATCCGCAGAGGGTGTCGCTTGCTCTCGCTGCATAATTCCGTTATCAAAATTGGCCTGGCTTCCCAATTCATTGTTCAGTTGGTTAACCGATGCAGTCGGATTGAACCCGGGTGGATGGGGAGGGGGTAAGGAGCCGTACCCATCTGCCTCCTCTAGGTCTTCACCCGGTGGCTCGAGAAAATTGATATATCTTGGCACAATGTCTTCTGGCTGAGTCTTCGTCATTGGAATGGGTGAGGTGGGACCCTTTTCCAGATAGTAGGGAGGAAAGGCAGGAGGTGACGGTTCTGGCTTATTTGTATATAAGACATTCGTTGTCCTCATTGGTGATAAGGTTATAGGAACGTAGTCGGGATCGGAATCTTCTTGGGTAGAATCTACTTCCTCTTCCACGTTTTGCCTTAATACTAGTTGAGCATTATAACAGACTATATCAAAACACACATACTCGATGTTGTTGTTCATTCCAGCGCTATCGTACTCCGATAAACGGTCAGCAGGCACTAAACTAGCATTGTCATCAGCATCACAATTAATGGTAAAGTTTCTCTTTTGAAATATTACCGTCGTAACCGCCTAAAGTTGACAATGACGGTTGAACTTCCTCCACCGAGTATCCATTATCTTGAGCTGCTGGTACTTCATTCCAGTCCTTTTGGGTGGGGATTGGCGTAGTCAAGTCAAACGAAGGTGAGGATGTGCTAAACCAATGATCGGTTCTGAGGATGTGCTAAACCAATGATCAGTTTGTAGCTCAAAACGTACATTTACTTTTGATATACTCAATCTGAGAATGCAAAGAGTTAACCCATTGTCTAGCTATTGCAAACTAAATATTGTTTAGTCATTGAAGTAATAGAATTATGCAAAAAGAGCATTCCAATACAATTGAGTACGTATTTTCTAGCGAAAGAACAGCCCTCTGTTTTCGCCATATTTACGAGTACTCATTTTCGCAGTACAAACAATTTCTAGGCCACTTGATGGGTCTTCCGAAGGTGTGAGAAATGCGAATAAGCGGCGATTACAAAAAAGCAGCAGGAACAAGTCTCTAGCACTGCTACAAACTATTCCACTTGTCACTTGTTCGAGCAAACAAAGAGAAGCATTGCTTAGTATTGAATGGCATAGATATAGTCTGCACATGAAGAGTTATAAGAAATCTTCACCTTTCTATATCATTGGAAAAGGCTGGTGCTGGTAAGGGATCTGGTCCGACAAAGTCTCTTTCAATGTCTTCGGCAGCCGCTACCGCAGAACGATCCGCATGAGCTAGACGCATACAATATTAGGTCTATATATTAGACTGTACAGTACCGCTTACAATTCGTAGAAAGTCCGCCAAACTACATCGGAGTTCACCGAATTTTGAGTCGCATCGCCATATCTTGGTTCAGAGTGAACGAATTCTAAGTCTGAGTGCACTGTTCGATTCAGCTTGGTGATACGCATCTTACGATATACATAAATGCTCGTGACGGTAGTTTTACTATCATATTTCACTTCTTTTAGATAATCGTTTACGTTATGTCACTCGAGCTCAGTCATTGCACACTTACAAGGGAATGATCCCAACTTAAGGTGGCGAATTGGAATGAATCGCATATGATCGGATGCGTCTTCATGAGCTGATTTCAAATCTACCTTCCATATCTGCGATGCCTTTCTCTGGGAAAAGTTATGAGAGGTTGAAAATGTGAAATATTGGGGTTGCAATGCATAATGTGCTTTGAAATCCAACCTGGTAGTGCATGACTAGCATGATATTGAGTTTTAAGTTCAAGTAAATGCTCAGAATCAAAGGAAACACGAGTAAGCATTTTTGAGCGACTGAAAACCACTAAAGCTCTTCGGTAAAAGCTGATGAGCAATGGAAAGTCCAAATTTGGCAAATATACAGGGCCATTTCTCAAGAATGAGTTGATCAAAAACACTTCTTTATGTTTCCGTTAAATGCGAATAGTCCTTGAAATCAGTACAATCAATATCATGAGAGTCATGCACTACCAAGTTGGATTTCACCGCAATAGCTTTACATTTTTAAGCGCTTATAACTTTTTCAGAGAACGGCATCGCAGATATGGAAAGGAGATTTGAAATCAGTTCATCAAGACGCATCTAATTGCGGCTCATGCCAGTCTGTCACCTTAAGTTGGGATCGTCCCCTTGTTAATACCTACCGTAAGCGATATTCTATATCAAATCTGACCAGCTACCGCAAGCAAACCGCTTTTTATATCTCAGAAGATGCGCCTCGTCGAGTTGAGTCGAATATTGCACTTGGATTCAGAATTGGTCCACTCTGGACCTAAACCTTGGCGATGCGACGCGGCTTTCGGTGAACTCCGGTGAAATTCGGTGATTTTTTGACAAATTATGGGCGGAGTTGTAGATGCGAAGCCACGTATTTGTGAAAACTTACAATCTGGAGGAGAAGTCACAAAGGCCGGCATGAACATTGTTGTGCTTTCAGGCCGATAAATGCTTACTATAGTCGACGACCAACCGAGGTGTTTCCGAATGGCATTTTGACACTCCCGCGAAACTACAGAAGATTTTAGAATCCCATCAGAAAGTGGACAAAGAAACGCATGAAACTAGTAAACCTACATGCTCTGCATTTTTGTGCACTTGTCTTTGTATGGATCATGCACATATGCACTGCGGGATCACAATTCACAAAACATTGTTCGGCAGCAGGCAACCATTCTGGATCTCCAAACGGATCTCCACCTATGAGGTATGAGCTTTTCTTGAGTGTTGGAATGTGAGAGATTATGACAGGGAAATAGAATCAAGGCCTAATAGTTAGTGCTTTTTTTTCTCGCTGGTTTATCATAAAAGCTACAAGAAAGAAAGATGAAAATGTAAGAAAAGTAACTCACATATGGCTTCGTTTGCAAACACAAACCGGTAGACTAGCGTGATGAGATACTTGTCTTCTTCTGTTTGTGCTGCATGTGTTATATAAAGGATTAGTGAAATAGAAGGAATGCAATCGGCTTTCATAATCTCATTAGTCCTGAAATAACTATCCGAGAAATTGCAGCCGATGAAAGTAATGTCTAAGCAAACTTGGATATCAAGGTTTCTTTTGCGCGAACTGATTAGGGAGACTTAGGTAGGCCGCTGCCAAAGTAAGCTCATAAGATTCATTTATATAAAAAATTAGGCCAACTCACGCCCAGTACCGTAATCTTTCCGGGCAAACCAATCAGCGCTCTCGAGTACGGTACTGGACGAGAATTCCACCATCGGTCATGCAAAATATGAACTGCCGCTTGGGCAACAGCTTCAGAGCCTTTCAGAATTCCATTAGATCAAATGCGTTAATTCACCGAAACACTGCGTTTGTGTTCTATGGTAAAGGTTCTCACACAAAACTTGCAATACAGGGTGTCTCAAAAAGATGTGCACACTGTTTGATCGACAATAACTCTCTCGTTTGAAAATCTTTCGTCGAGTTTAAGGTACTAATCTGTAGAGCGAGGTTCAACTTAGATTTACTGTATGGAGGGAATCTCCGAACTTTCTTCGTCACGTAGGATTAAGGTAGGAATTTCAAGGATTTCAGACAATTAAAACCGATTTTTGCTTCAGAAAAAACGCCAGACAAGCCAGAAACTCTTGTACTGGACTAATCGAAGTCGTTGATCCTAAATATGAAATTTGCACTTCACTGCAATGCTTCTCACATGAGTTATTTTTTAAGGTAACACTTGTTTTTCCAATGTTCGTTAGAAGTGTGATTACATCATCAGAAGAGCTCAAAAAACTGGTGAAAAGTTGTGTAGTGAAATGAGCAAGTCTGAGAACCTTGATAATTTCCAGATTTTTTGGATTTTTTTTTTATTGAAAGGCCTATTTTACACTGCCGCTATATGCAAAGATTATAACGTAATTCTGCAGTAATGAAGAGCGATTGGTGATTCGTTCCATAATGTTAATCTATGCTGAACCTCCCCTACAGAATGGCACATCAAGCTCAAAAAGAGACGTGAAAGCAGGAGAATTATTAACGATCAAACTGTGTGCACATCTTTTGGGACACCCTGTATAAGCTGCTGGGAAGCCTTTCTTGAAAATATTAGGTCGTTCCGAAAGTAATGTCGCTTTTTTCAAATGAACGCCACATTTCGTAGAACCAAGATTTTCAAGATCTCATAAAATCAGTCGATGCAGCATTTCGTCCTCTTTCTAATGGTTGTAATTTCATTGCATAATATTCAATGAGCTCTCGAAAAATTACCAAAAAATACGACTCATGCTTTTTGTCATGGTCAAGTTCGGCTATTTTTTTATATCTTTGTACTGAATCCCTGAAGATGTACAAGTAATAGATAAATAGATCAAATCCTATAGAACACAAAACAATTTGTTTCTTTTTCTCATTTTGCTTAGAGTTTCTAGAATCAATTTTTCAGAGCTATCAAATTCCATAGTTGGTCAACGACAACCATCTGCAAGCCACTCGGGTGTCATTCGATGCAGATTTTTCTCCTCTTTTTACCAAATTGTTTTTGTTTTCCGATTCAAAAAGTTTTCCGGGATAAAATCACCATAATTCAGGTTTTCCAGGGGCGCCCCAGGCTGTACCCGAAATTTCCGAAAGTTGCCAATCTGAAGCGGTAAACGCTCATTTGCTTTGTAAAATTAGTGTCAAACCATAATCCATCTTTGTAAGTTTCAAAATTCGAAGATTTATTGGTGTTTGATGCATTTGTGTCTGAGACAAGCCTGTTAAAATTCGGTGATTCCATTGAAAAATCTCTAGAATTATGACGAGCTATGGTAAGTAGAAAAAAATTGTGCTGTTTCCTAGAGGTTTACTCAATCCACCTGTTACTTAGACTCCTTCGGAGGATTGTTGTAAAAATTTATAAAAATAGTGAAACTTGACCTTCTCAAAAGGCATGGGTCGCAGATTTTGATAATTTTTCGAGAGACTGTTGAATTTTTTGCAATGCTCATATAACCGTTGGAAAGAGAATGAAATACTGCATCGAATGTTACCAAGAACTTTTGGAAATCTTGCTCCCTCGAGATGTAGTGCTCATTTGAAGAAAGCGACATTTATGTTGCAGGATATGATACTGTGCAAGTTGAACGAAAAAAGCTAACGCAAATTTTGGATCTATTCGTTAGGGACAGACTGGTGCCGGAAAGGAAAGAAGCTCCTTGGGGCAAACTCAACGAATCCTCAGAAACAGGTTATAAACCAATCCACAACGTCCATGTCGTATGTAAAAAGAACAACAATGATAAATGGACTAAAACAATAATACGAAGACTGATCGTATAGGGTCACTCTAGAAATTTTTTGTTTTGTCTCATCATGAATTCAGTGACTACAAGATATTACAACACTAAAAGTAGAAAGTGATTGTGCTAGGCCGTTAGGGACCTTTTATTTTTATCTCTTAAGCTAAGAAATTTCCTTATAGGCGTAGCATAAAACTTATATTAGCAGAAAAGTGAGGAGATAGGGTTAGGTAAATTTCTTTCCTTATTGTTAGATTCAAAAATTCAACAATAACGGGAAAGTTGAAGTTTTTGATAAAGAAAATGCACATCAATGTATGAAAGAAAGTTTTTGTAACAGCATCAGAAGAAAGGCTCCTCAAACAAAAAGACTAAAATGCTCACTACATTGGCTGCATGCTAGATACTCTAAAGTGAGAAATTAATGAGAAAACCAAAAAAATTTCGATTTAGAACTTTTCTTATTCAAGAACTATACTGATTTTTCGGATTCACTTTTACTAAAATAATTCTATGATGACCAAGTTGGAACAGAATTACCAACAATAGCGCTTACAATGAACACTGGCTCCAAAAACGTGCCTGTCCAACAAGGAGGGTACGAGCATTTTGAATGGGTCCGAAACTTCACACTCGATTCGTATGTTACTTATGCTTCGCAAAGCAAACAATCAGCCCCCAAAATCGTGCTCGAAAAGAAGCACAATCGATGCGAGCGAATAAAATCTAAAGCTGCAGTTACAGAAATATCTCTCAGCGCAGTCAGCATTTCCAAGTATAGTAGAATTCTGAAAATGTTGAGGATGACTTCTGCAATTCGCATCCGTGGACCGATAGAAATCCAAACAATTCCTCCTCTAACAGCAAATTATTGACAGATGGTTATGTCTATGAGGATGAAAATAAAAGAGGATGTTACAAACCACAAGAGTAAGACACTGAGAAAGCATGCCTCGTCTTTATCTCGTAACGAAAGCTAGAAAGAAGTATCTGAGCTAGGCTAGCGCTGCAGGAGACTAAGAAAATTTACATTAGAATGAGGATCGTGCGTAATAAACCAGTGGCGCTTCTAACAAGGGAACAATACTTGCTCGGACACTTTAAGAAGGGCTTGAAACGCTGATCTCAAATCTGTCCTACATATTTGACAAGTATCTTTCAATAGAAAAGTTTAGGACTTGCTGTCTATGGTTTTCTGTCAGAAAAAGAACGAATCCTGGACAACAGCATGCTCACGATTACAGAATTTTACAGCAGGTACATATATAGAACTATGATGCACATAAATTAGTTATTTGTCCATAAATTGCAGCACTGAGTATCGTAATCAGTAATCAGTAATTTGTTGAGCACACATCAAAAGCCCTTACCTTAGAACCTCACGGATAAGCTTCCCATCACATAATTCGTCTGCGGATATGTCCGCTCTATTTGACAGATTTTACGGTAGTTATAATGAAAAAAGGAATTGTAGATAGGCGAACTTATCTGAAAGGTCTATTGGGCGGACTAATCTGACTCAAAAAAACGGACCTATCTATAAGATTTTGGTAATTTTTTGGGGAAAACACTTGTAAATAAAGACGATATTTTTAGATCGGCGTTGATCTACCCCCCCCCCTCCTCAATAGCCTGCATCGCTTTCTATAGTTTCACATTGACTAAGTATATCCTTCCCTTGTTGTCTCGATCATTGCGCAGTATTTGTCAAGAGACAAATCTGGGTCTCATGTAAACTTTTTTACTTTTTCACACTTCAAATGGCTAGATCAACTCTGCTGCTTCCGTGTGAAAGTTTGTTGTACTTTCGATTGCCGCCTTTTCGAATTTTTGTCATTTGTATAAACTCTAGTCCGGTTAGGTCAGTAAGACTCTTACTCTGGTAAAAAATACTTCGGAGCTTTCAGGAGAGTTTATAGATTTACAGCACCAGCTTAGACCTAATCAACAATCACTGAGAGAGAAGAATCTGTTGGAATGAATAGAATGGTTGAAAATCTAGTAACTGCTGCATTTCTGCATTTTTCTGTTCCTTTTGGCACACCTTTGAGTGCATTGAAGTGAAATGATAAATAAAATAAATTGCTGCTTTCCTCAAGCTAGATACCAAAGCCACATCTATGAAAGGAATGTCCATAGTCAAGCAAGACATCATATAGCTTCAATTAAGAATGGCCTTCTTCACAGATTTTTCAATAACGAGTGGAGAGTACGAAAAGCAATTGATTTGATCAATAATCTTCATCAGATATCGTTGGAGAAAATTTTGAGCATGCATTATTTAATGTCATTGAGTGGATGAAGATGACATGCATATTGCTGTGAATCATTCGACATTTGCTCTGCTGGCTCACGAAGACCTTTTACAATAGCAGTATGCTGAAACAAATCCCACAAAATATCATACTTAGAAGAATGTATCCAGCAAAAGCTTAACATATAAATCACTGATGAGATATACCCAAAAAAGGACAGGGAAGATAGTGCATTGAGGAAATGCGTATGAATTTGTGACGGTCAAAACCAAATGAAAGAGGGCGAAATGAGGTCCTATTTACAATGTCGAAAACGCGCATGATCGCTTCGAATACTGCAAATATGATGATGCGTTTTGCCATATGCAATAAAGAATAAACTTGGAAAGATCAAAAAGATATGAAAGAAAGGAAAATATCAATTTATTTGAGCATTTTTTACGCTAAAACATAGCCCTAATTACTCAGAGAACTATCAGATTGTGCTAGTAGTGAACCGCTTTTCTTTGATTTTTGCTAAATCATTTTTTTCACTCTTGTACCTAATAAAGAGCAGTCAGAATGCATATTTATTTAGTAGAGATAAGCTATTTTTTTAGTTTCGGTAATCTCTCAAATAATGATTCCTATCTCGAAAAACTTAAGGCAGTATCAGCCATTCTCTCCGAAAAGTTGTTTTTGAGCCCGAAATTGTAAACGCGGATCGAAGTTTCAACTATGTAAGGGACTTAGAAACATAAAGACATTGAAAATTAGTACTGTTGTTATTAGGAAACCTACTTCAAATTTGTAAACTGCAGTGCAAACGAGAAGGGGACAAAAACATAATTAGTGGTAGAGAAGATAAATTATAAAAGTTATTATGGAACGCTTATCCTTGCCTTTCAGTTATGCAAAAATTACAAGAAAACCGAGAAAGGAAGTTTTTTAGAGGGGTCTGTCAAAATCTAATAATTCCCCAAGTGAGCTTCAATATAAAAATTTGCAATAATAAGGGTCATTCACTAGCATAAGTAAAAGGATGCGACTAGCGCCGTTGTTATCCAATGAAATATAAAGATGTGAAAACTGGTCAGCGCTTTCTATTTCCATTCTTATGAGCATACAATTCACGCATGGTATATAATGGCTGTTCATCTGCGAAACGTTGTGTTTGTTTTCGTTAGCGGTTTGTAATTGAACAGAGTAGGGTTCATAAAGTTGCATGAACGTCTACGCTAAATTTTTACATCATTGTTCAGTAGAAATTTTCGCCGAGAAAGTTTCCATATTAATTTTTGGCCATCTCGGCCTTGCCAGGGACAGGCAGTAAATTTTCAATCTTCGCCTACTAAATGATGAAAATCTATTCCTCATATACAGGATCTGACAAAGGTGAATTCGACGAAACGTTAGCCTCAATTATAAAACTTCCTCGAACACGCAGTTCATGCAAGAATTGCGCAAAGTTTTTGCCAATGTCCATTCTCACGACAACTTCGAGCCTCAGCTAACACTTCTTTGCTTTGTCCACATGAGTGACTCAATCAATTAATTTCCACGTTGTTTAAAAAAACAAGTTCGCTCTGGTATGCAAATTTCATAAAAATTAGGTTTATTGTCTTTTTCTATGACTTCGAATATCGACAGCTCCAAAACTATTATTATCAGTAAAGGACGGCTTTGAACCAACATGAATAATTTTCCAAAATCTTTGATATTTGTGTTCCCAAGTCTCGTTTCTAAGCTGTAATGGATATAGAGATGAGTAATGTACTTTATCGATACACACAGATTTTTCATGTCTAGCTCATAACAATAACTGTGCTTTGGAATTCTTTCATAAAAAAGCGAAAGGTGTCACATTTGCAGCAAAAAAAGTGATCTTTGCGCCTTTTTTTGTTTGGAAGACCAATTTTACTCATACAGAATTCAAATTCCAGTTCTCATTGAAGTTCCTTTTCCACGAAAACCAAACATCAGACAAAAAATTGTCTAAAACATTTGCAGGAGCCACAAAAGCGACCTAACCAGGGCTCGGCAAGAGCTGGCACCAGGAAGATTTCAAAACGAAGTCCCCTTTGATCTTGAAAATTTCGTACGAAGTCCCTTCGCCTAAACCCTAAACGTAAAAAAAACCCCTACAAAAACAAAACGCCCACTAAAAAAATCGTCGCAGTTTTTCTGTCTTATCAGTCGCAAAAACGATATCTCCCTTGTTTTTTGTCCCAAAAACAATATCCACCTTGATCCGATGCCAGCTGTAGCCCTGTACCGAACTTATTTGTTAGCTGATCTGATAATTTATTTGATATACGATTTGATATTGGTTAATTTTGCACTGATACCGTCCGTAGAGGCAAAAAAGCGCGGATTTGCCTAAAACTCCTGCGTAAAAGTTCGATACATATAAGTAGCTAGAGTTGACCTTCTTGTATCTTATTTCCACATTTATTCCTTATTCTCTCATTGAGGTACAAATGCTATATCAAAATTAAAGCAAAGAATTTCCAACTTCGCATTTCCTTTTACGTTTCTCTCATCCTCTGATCACCCAATCGATGATCAAACGATAGTCTGCGCCCTAACCCTCTCACCGCCACTCTTATGACCTGTCAAATTACCTTACCTGCCATGCCAGGGGGCTCATTCACATGAAGTGTCCTCTACGATGAGTCCCCTGAACCCTGCGGGTACACTTCAGACGTGCTCCAGTGCAAACTCCGTTATCACTGCGGGTCACAGTGCGAAAAGTGGGCGGTCGATGCGGAATTGCGCGCCAAAACCATGCATAAATAGCTGTCTCGACTACTTGTAGCAATCCGACTGCTTTGTCTGTATGCTATTAGTCATCGTCATATTTCATCTATTTCCTACTCTGTGTTCTCTCTTTTCCTTGGCAGTGCTTGGTAAATGCTGTTGCTATCCGTACTAGCGATATCACAGCATCTTACTGAGCCCAGCTGGGTTAAAGTGGAGGTAAGTTTTCGCTCAAAATACCCTGGTCTCTGAACGTTTCTGGGTTCGCATCTTAGTCGTAGCTAGAATGCATATGACTAGAGCCGAACTCGGAAATGCTTCAGATGGATGCTCTTTGGAAATTTTCACTTCTTTGGCCATTGAATACTGTTGCGGGGTACGTTTCGTAGTCGTAACCTAAAGGTATATGACTAGATACGGACTCGGTAACAAGTGGTAGATACTGTTTTGTATCTTTATTTTGTCTACAGAGTAATAATATATGACAAACAGTAAGCAGAAGAGCCAGAGCGGAAAGTTCAATCACCTTCAAGGTTTGTTTTTGTAACGTTTTTAGAAAATGTTGCTTTGTCATGTAATAAAGTTATTTGATCTACGGTGTTTACATTCAAGGCGAAGTACCGTTGGTTACATTATAGATCGAGAACGAAAGAGCTTGTCGGATCGTTAAAAAGGAATCAGTACTTTTCATACTACTTCCAATAGTTGTTATTATTCTTAAACATTTCAGCTCACTATTATGCGCATCTGTTTGTCGTTCGTGGCAGAACCATATGCGTCTTCTTTGTTCTGGCACATGTGCTCCTTGTCAAAAACATTGAAATGATTTGCAACGATGGCAAGGAGTCTTGTATTCTCAAGGCACAAAGTCTTGAAATATGAAACATGTCACGGATTGTGCAGGTTACACTTTCCAAAGCCTAAATCTGTTTCTTCCAAGCTTTTTGGAAAAAAATCGGTAGCCGAGTTGCCTAATATACACGATTGATGTCATGGTTTCGTCTTTGTTCCAAGATGACCGCAAAAGTTTTGCAAAAGTTGTCTTTGTCATTGTTTTTCACATAGATTTGATTCGTGAAATAAAGATAACTTCGAAATGTAGCATGTAAAAGACAGCTTATGATAATAAGTCCTCTATCAGTGAGACAGAGCGATGCTTAGCGCAACCTGTTTCAATATTGACTCCTTTTTGATTCCATGCACGACATCTGCTAATATAACGCTGGAATTTTTGTATTTTGCTTCTTCTGCTCGCTTCATTTCTACCGTGGTTGCCCACCAGCTCATCCCTGTGATCCAATCTGCTATTGATTTGAAATGGAATCTAAGGTCAAACGTCTTTAAGACCACCGGTGATTGTCGGAAGCAGTCAAAGTTGCTTGGAATCCACCGTTGGACTGGTATGTGTTTCAGATTTCTAAGACGATCACCAAATTCTCTTCTGTTACAAATGATCTGACGTAGAAAAGACTTGGCTGAAGCTCAAAGTGTGAGCTTCTGAATATGAACTTTCATTTCGTCATGTATCCTGAATGCTTATCTGGCCGTGCCCGGCAAACAGTGCCTCATCCAATCTGATGAGATGAGTCATTGATTTGCTGAGCAGGGCTTTGCTTCAGAGTTGGGTCGTCAAATTTCGACATATATCATTGCAAAAATATACAGACTAGTAATCAGCTATAGGAGCAAAAATCCCCTGGAAAAATCTCAGCAAAACCACAACTATCAGGTAAAAACATATAAAACATATTTTTCTCACAATCTTCTTCACAATTCTGAATTGCGCCTCTAAGACTAGCTGTCTATGGAAAGGGAACACTACTGTTAGAGTTACGAATTGCGTCACACCATCTGCGCGGACTACTGGACTTCACAAGGTATGCGATAGCATGCGCAAAAGGATCAGCAGTCTGCAGCGCGCGGCTTCGTTTCTCTACCCGAACATTGCGTTCTAAGCATTATAATCTCGCTTCAGAATGAACTGATTACTTCATTACGATCATTCTTGTATCTGTTGTGCAACTGACAAATGTTAATATTCATTCGAGAGACGTACATGACACAGCAATATCAGGCAGAAAAAAAAAGAAACAGCGTTTCCCATGATTGCACAGGTGTAGTGGAGGGTGAATGATTAGAAGCACGGAAAAGAATCGACTGTTTCTCACTATTAATCCACGACCACAGAAAGCATTGGAGCTGTAGGTTTCCACAATTCAGGTCGATCAAAAGTGCACTCCCAATCACTGCAGATGACGGTGTTACGGTAGACCTACAACAAAAAAATTGGACTGGAATACAGATATTCGTTCGAAAAAGCGGAAATTCCAAACAGGCTTTCATATCAAAAAAAGGAATAAGAGAACGCCTAGCTTTATAAGTGCCTCTACTTTACTTACTCCTATTCCTTGCTCCAAATGGTTTTCTTGAATGTCTTGAATATCCTGGTGATGACCCAAGCAATAATACCGTCGCACTGAAACATAGTTGAAACTTAGAGATTTGTGGCTGCTTTCAAGCAATTTTAGTAATCCTGGATACCTAAACTGCAAACAGCGTCGAAAGTCTTGGCGACAATGCCGAACATATTGCTGCGAATCTCCTAAATTATCTACTATTCGACAAACTTGATGGTAGGTAAGAATTACATAGCTTATAGAGGGACATTATGCCAGAAAAATGCTGAATTATGTCAGTGTAAAGAAAATAATCAGCACGAAACTAAGCCCATGTATACGCTTGGAAATGGCTCCTATAAAGGAGAAGAAACAATGACCTAAGAAGGTAACTAACCGACCTATGCTTCCCTCATGCTGTGCCAACCTTTCTTCACACCTTCATTCTATTCCTTGGCTCCTCAGGAAAGACTCGCAATTGAGTGATTTGCTCAGATGACTCCTGCGGCCACGTCCTGCAACGGTCAACGTAATAGGCTGACAGCCATCCTTATAAAAGTAGCTATAACTTTAATTGGTTGATATATGTGGGGAACTGCTGATGTAAACACGTTCTGAAGCGAGCAAAGAAACCCTATAAACGCATGAAATAATGCAAACTATGAACATCATGTCCTTAAATCATAGAGAAGAGAAGAAGCGAAGGCTTTATCTATGATAACCATTCCCAACAATGATAGTTCACCATACGACGCTTACCTTCACAAAATATCGATCAATTGATCTTGAAGCCAACTTGGGTCCCGGCACGACTTCCTGCGCGGTATTGACCACGTGTGTGCAAAGAAGCACTGTTGAATGTATGCGAAAGGCTTGCGCTGCTGTGAGAAGAAGACAGTATAGACTTTTCCCGAGTCTTTGGGACGCGTAGCTGACAGGTATGCATTTGTTTTTACTAGATCTTGGGTGAATTCAAAAGCTCAGTTCCCCAGACTTGATCTACTGATTGCTGCAAACCCATGTAAGCAAAGAGGCTGAACTGGAAGAAGCTGTAAGACTATGGTTTGTAGCATCTTTTCCAGTTAAAAGTTCAAATTATTTAGTTCTTGATCTTGCAAGCTCCAGATCCTTGAGAAGGAACAGCACAGTACGGCCTTTTTATCCGTATCGTTTCACAGGTAAAATCTTCAACGTCATCCTCCTCTTTTATGAGATGCTTCTTTAACATTTGCTTTCACCTTTTTTTTCTGAAGGATGTTATGCGAGTCACTTTATACTCACAACGAAATGGACAGATGCTCGTGGCAGAGCTTTTCCTGTTTGTCCAAAATCTCTGCGTAAGGCTCTTCAAAAGGTTGTTTATACCACAAAAATGTTTATTAACTTTTCACGCAGAAAATGAGAACATATGGATGTATGAGATAGAGGTTTGAAAGAATAAAGCTTACTTATGGCAATGTTAAACCTGAAAGGTCACAACAAACAATACCTTGAGATGCCAGGTCACAACAAACAATACCCTTGAGATGCTGAGCTTCATAGATTTAACCGGATGAGTTTTACACATTTTTAGTAACTCATGCATCTCGGATGAGGTATAACATATCAAAAAGGTGGAAATACTTCCACAGTAGAGTTTCCTAGACGCTGGTCTGTTGTCCATCCTTGTTCAAGTCACAACTGCGTTTGGGCTCGTTGACGTCATCATCGTCGAAGAGCTTTCGCACAGCACTTCTGGAGAGCAGCGCTTTCTTCTCCTTTTCGGCTTGTTCCAAAAGGCGTTCTCCGACCGTTTTCCTTTTCTTTGCTGATTGTTCGTGAATGCGTTGTTTGACATTCCGAAGACGAGATCTCAGGAATACCTCCTTAAAAAGGGAGGTCCTGCGCTGTTCCAAGAGTTCCTATAAAATAAAACTACAAATCAGCGTCTGTGAAGATTCTTATTTATTTGTAACCAACTATCTTCTCGTCTTTGCATACTGCACTTTTGGCATAATTGCAGTAGAAAGCTTGAAGTTCATGTTCCTCTCTGAGGCATGCACGAATCTCTCTTTTTGCTTTCTAAAATTATTTTGATTGATGTCTGGTCGCAAAATGTGACGTAAATGGTCTTCAAAACTTGCCTGGAGCTGGGAATCGTTGAGAATGTTAAGAGATTTGTAGAACATTAGATTGAGTTTAGGACTGTCATCTGGCACTGGCACGATCCTAGGGCATGGTGATCCTGGCACGGGCCTCATGTTAGCAAAACTTCGGTTAGAATTCTGGATTTACCTGAATGGCTATGACATCTGCATCAGCCTACGAATCATACAAAATAACTCAGAAACATTTATTTTGTCTTTGAGCTGTCCGGATTACAGCGATAGTTACAACGCTGCCAAGCTAATGACTATGAAAACCGTCTGTCACGTACAAAGGTTGACTATTTCATCTACACAGATCAGAAGTAATAGGTTGTTTGGCAGAAACTAAGTGTTCTCATGGAGAATGAAACTGAAAAAAATACAAGAGTTGCTAAAATGACCTACCAGGTTTCTTCTTCCCTGTGTTCTTGAAAATGATTAGCTTCTGACGCACGGAATATGCGTCAACGGATCAGATGCGCATCGGCGACAACAGCAGCAACAGTGCGGGAATTTGAATGGATAATTTTAGCTTGCGATTTTCAAGATCTCCTACAATACATACTCGGAATTGCACTTCAAAGCCATCAACTCCTCTATATAGAGAGGCTGATTCTTGCATAAAAGCAAGTGATTCTCACCCACCTCTATAGCCGGTCATCGCGTTGCTCCTTCGAAGCTTTCCCAGCATTGGAGTGTATCTGATGGGACGCGAATTGCTGCAGTTGCTTATTCCCACATTGCCGTTTGATCTTCCAGGCGAAGTTTTGGCACTTCAAAAGTTTTGTTGTATCTTGCGATATAACAGAAGGCCATGTAGATGTTGTTTAAATGATCTCTGAAGCAATTTAGTCATTTCCCTCTATTTATAGGCGTGAAGTTTGGAGTCGATAGCTTCAGATGCGCAGCTAATCAACCCACTAGCTCTAGCACTCCAAAGGGTTCCTTTCGTTTGTTATTGATTCCCCCTCCACACTATACAGGGGACAAATCGACCTTATGACAGTTTGCTCCACAAGTTAGCAGAAACTGGGGGCGCCTAATCCAACACACCAGCTAAAAGTATATGTTACCGAAAGGAGGTCCTGCGCGGAGATCTGCAACAGCTGCGCACTTCCATGTGCCCTTTGATTCAACTGGATTGGCGGCTGGAAGGCGGGGCTTCGTGACCTGGTTGAGGCTTGAGAATGATCAGAGAGCACGCGCGCGAGAGAGACGCTCACTGGGTCGCGGGAGCGGCCTTAATTAGGTCATAAAGCCCCTCCCCCTTCCAGCCGCTAATCCAGTTGAATCAAAGGTTCAAGGCCTCCCCTTCCAGACATAAAGTCTTCTGCGCGCTATATACCAGCTGCCGGATAACTGCCTTCGCGACAGGACCATTGTGAGGTGAATGACGGCTGTCCTTGCGAACAGTATGAGTTCTAGGGATATCCAGCGGAAGTTTGAGAATTACCCCCGTCTGAATGGTTTGTATTGGCATGCAAATCCTTGCTAATCGCTTTCAAAAAATATCGCTCATTCTTTATTCGCAATGAGGAGGAGGGATGCTATTTCTAAGCAGTGTATGAGGCCATGAGCCATTCTAGAGCCGCACCATAAATTTATTCGTGCCTTATAATTTATATTGACCCCCCTCCCCCCCCCCCCCCCGCCTCGGTCCATTTTCATTGCGTTTGAGGAAGCTGGTTAACGCTGAGAAGAAGTACGGTTTCAGCTAAAATCGGAATTTCTCGGCTATAAATGAATCTTGTAAGTTGCCGCTTGGGTAATGATTTACTCAAAGGCTCTCAACAGTATACTGAAGCGGGCTGCTCATGCAAACCATAGCCCGATTGCGACTGCATACTATTCCTTCTAAAGCGAGAAAATCGCTTAGAATTCTGAACATAAACGCCCCTAAGTCCTTACCGAAGCAGAAAATCCTGCAGCCATTGACAACGGACGTGTTCCAGCACGACATCCTGCTTCGGTAACAACCGAGGGGCGTTTATATTTTAACTTATGAAGCGATTTTCTCGCTGCAGAAGCAACAGTCTGCAGTCGCGATTGAGTTATGGTTTGCATGAGCAGCCCGCTAGTGAACTGCTGAGACTAAGGCTCCCAATTTGCCCATACACTGCCTTAAAGGCACCATCCACCTTAAGTTGAGCTTTTTGAGCTTTTGGCAGCATATGTAGCAGAGCCCTTATCAAGTCACTGCTTAAGTCGCGGCGCAAAATGTCGCCTTGGAAGCGAGAAAATCGCTCCGGAATAGCGAAGATGCACGAGGGCCCCCAGACCGCCCTTCCCATCCATGCCCGCCCATCCGTGCGCGTTCAACCAATCATCGTTCAGGAAAACCGGTTTGATTGTTCTCCGAAACGGGGATTGCCGGGCTTTCGGGGTTTCTCGACCTCAGATTCGGAATCAGGGAAATGAGAAGGCTCTGAATCGGCAAGAACCGGGAAGTCGAGAATTTGGGTGGAGTGCCTTCAAGGTCGCATTGTCCCCAGCGACACCCATGCGTTCAAATCGGCCTAGACACAGCTTTTAGTGCTGCAGGGCGTGGATCAGAAGTAAAGGTGTGAAAGTAGATATGCCCTCTCCCTCTTCTCTCCCCTCCCAAAATGCCTTTTGTCGACCTTTGAATGACATTTTGTAGGAATGGATTTATCTTAATATTAAACTAGGGATTCAATGATCGTCCTTTTGCTGTAGGATGATCATTCTATAATAGAGAGTGGCAAGGGTTTGCACTTATATGTTGACAAGTTGCGGAATGAGGCGAGTGATTGCGGTGTCTGTGAGATTACAGATTTGTCAACGAGGCTAGCATGTTTTCTTAGAGAAAAACATCGTCTCTCCTCAATGAGTGTTTTCGAAAAAGGTGCGGCTATTAAGTCAAAGGTTATAGTTTTGGAGGTGGCGACATCTCGTTGGGTTGCTCTTTCACAAGTCTATACTTTGTGGGTATGACTGATTTCACTCGTTGAGTTTTCACATTAATACCAGCCAGTTTGGTTTTCAACATGCTGTAGTAGCCCTTACACGTTCATATAAATGTTGTAAGAATTTGTTCACTTCTTCGTGTTTTTTCTTGAATATTCATGGCTGCTCCTTTCGTTCAACAAAAGTCGGTGATAATCAGTGAGGACAGTTCCTTCCTCCTTTCTCTAACGGCAACATTGGTGGGCCTCTATTTTTTTCTCAAAATGCCATTTTGTTGGCTGTTATAGAGCAGATCAATTTGTCAACGACCGGGATGGTCCATAGAGTTTTTTCAAAATTGAGTTGTGAAGAGCTCGTGGGGCACTTCTTTGAAATCTTTTATTTTTCCTGGAAATTCGGTTTCCCTGCAGTCCACAGGGCAGTTCATCTTCGTACTGATGGTATGTAAGCGGTACATAGCGCACTTCCTTCTAATAATTGATTATTGGTCTACAGGTGACCCGTGGGGCAGTTTATTTTTCTCTTGAAAAAAAAATATTGGTTTGTAGGGGCCCGCATGGCATTATCGCAAGATTTTGTTTACAGAGGGCTTGTAGGACCATTCCTTGCTTACCACTCTGTAGGTTTGCCGTAGGCAAGTCTTTTTCAAATTATTGGTTCTGGTAAGTATCGGTCTATTCGAAGGGGGTATTACTCTTGAAAAATCGACCTTTAGGGGGGGGGGGGAGAGGATCGTAGGGCATTTTTTTGTGAATCGATCCTTAGGCGGATCGTGGAGCATTTCTTTCTCATGAAAATTAAACTGTAGGCGGCACATAGGGCATGAGAAAACGATGTTTATTTTCGTTGCAAAGTCTTTTCGGAAACTAGGGCGTCTTGAGTGTTGCGGTTTTGTAGAATGCATCGCAGTATTGAATTTTGACTGCTTTTGAGGTTTGACACAATGGAGATTGTTGGAAAAATGGCCCAAAGGAAAATTTTATAAGTGCCCAAGGCCAAATCATTGGATAAGACAGCGCAAGAAAAACCTTGATGTGGTTGCTGGGAAATGTATTTTGTCTTCATGATGATTTTCTTTATAACTTGACAAGATCCCAACTTGAACGTTTCTTGGGAAAGTTTTCCTTGTAAAAGCCGTGGAGGGCGAATCCTTTTTTTTTAAGTGTTTGTGGAGAGGGAATTTGGATGAGAGGGCGTAGTGTTCGGTAAAAGGTCGATTTTTTGCCAAAAATCTTTAAGATTGTGTTGGGGCTTCTAAGAAATGTTGAATGAACTTAAAGTTCTTCGTTTTTGCAGGACCCGCCCATAGAAGTGGGTTTTCCTGGGTAGCTCTCAAAAAAGTATAAAGTGTAGATATTTGTGGCCATAACTAGGCGAGATAATGTAGACCCACTTACCAGCTACCCATAGGGTCGCTAGTCATCATTGTAGAAGACTTGAGAAGGGTTTTGAGCCATTACGGACCATAATTTATTTCATTAAGGAAAGTAGAGAAGCCAAAAACTCACTTTAGGTTAAAACAGAGTCGCTAATCACAGTTACGTAATCTGTACCTTACGGGTGCATCGTTCATAAGTTATGTCAGGTATAATCGTGACAGCAGTTTTCCCAAAGTTGCCCGAAATTGTGATCATAACATCTAAACAGTTTTGTAAACTTGCCAAAGTTCTGTAACGAAAACAGTAGGCGTAAATACCCTCCCTGCTATACACTTTACAGATTCCTTGGTTTTTTCCAAGAACCCTAGTTGCACAAGGATGCTGTGTTCCTGAAGTTCCTACCGTAAGCAGTATTAGAGAATGATTGGTGATCCGATCCATGCTGTGCAGGATGAAGCCAACTCTACAAAACTGTACCTTAAGGTCGGCAAACTTTGCAGGAAGATAACAACGATCAAATTATGTGTACATGCATGCTTCAGGGACAATCTGTATTCTATGAATTCATCGGTTTCAGATCGCGAATCTTCAGAGTCTGTTCAAAGAAGGGTCTCAGAAGTCTCAGTCACCCATTCCTAACTTTCACCCATTACTTTCAATGCCTAAGACTTCTGCGCAGTCATTTTTTGATGTCTCGTTTGTTTGCCAAATTCAGTAGTATGGCGTAGCCAGACTGACTCGTCATTCATCTGAATCATAAAGTCAGCTACTGTGACGTCGTGTCTGCCCTCATTAGCATTACGTAAGCATTTTACAGTACAGATAATCATCATTTATTTTTTTCCAATATTTTGGAACTGATGTTGTTTTATATCTGTTGACTCATGACGAATTAGGCGGAGATGACATCATCTACCGCGACTCGAAGCAGGAATTCTAAAATCTGGTGGGCGATATGACGACAACGTCGCTACTGTTTGAACAAGGCTTGCTTACAGGGTAGGTCAAAGGTTGGAGATGTCATAACGAACACGAGATTCGGTATGTTTCCGTCGCAGTGGATTAACTTGTCTTTTTGACGCCGTGAACTGTACCAATGGCCGAAATTAGCTGTTGAGTAAACAGAGTTGCAGGAAGCGTATAGAGACTTCCTGAATGCCATTCGCAGTAATACTTCATAATTAAATTTGAGAGATTTAGATTAGAGAATTCGCTCATGGAAACTATGAAACTTCTCATTCAATAAGTAAAATAAATGCATATCAAATCAAGCGAAGAAGCAGCGAAAAGCAATCTACATGGCTGATGCCTAATATCGGGCTGGACAATTTGGTACCAACATCCTAAAATATGTGAGATTAAAAGCTTTGAATGCGTCCAAAATTCTAAAACTATCTCTCTGAGATACTTGATTTGGAATAAATGTATGTAAATTCACATTTCTTGGGCAGTGCAAATATTCAAATTCATTGAGTTAAGTTAACGCAACAAATTTAACGAAAACTACTTCCATCATTCCCACTTTTTGAGCTCTACGCGACTGAACTTTTTTCTGAGCATTGGAGAACCCCTCAGTAAAGGAATTGTTAAGAGAAAGTTTGCATTGTGTTCCATGTGATTTGTACCAAAATGGCTATTGTCAAGAACTTTCATCTCTCAGCATTTTTTATGCTTTGCTATCTTGAAAGAATCCGGATATCTCAAGATCGAAAGTCAGTTAGTAATGATAAGGCAGCTGGCAAGTGTGGGAATATCTGATTCTATTAGGTTGTTGCATAACCAGTATGATACTTATCCTTGAGCGGCAGAAAAGGTATAAAAATATAGGAAACATAATTCTATACAAGCCGTATAAGATGGTTCGCAAGTAATCTCAAACGCTGTAAATCGGGAAGAAAATTCTAAATTTTTTCAAATGCTAAAAAATCTTTCTGTTCAGAAAAATCCCACAGACCTCTAACTGTCGAAAAATACCAAATTTAACATAAAAAACACGAAAAAGGCGATATTTTCGAATTTTAGGTCTAATTTTTTTCCAACTTCCAGTCATGAAAAAATGCGGCAAGTGTAGGTATAAATTTCGTATGTTTAGTATATGCTTGACCTAGTTGGAAGTCTGCAGATTCTTTCTGAATGAACATCTGATGACTGGGTGTTCAAAATTTTCTAGATTCTTTCTTCGAAATTTACGCAGATCGAACCTTCTGCGATTGTTCAAATACTATGTTGTAAAGATTGCTTTGCTCTATAGAATAATGTATTTCGTACATTTTTACATCTCCTCTGCCGCTTTAGAACTAGGAACATTCATTGATTTTGCATTAACGATTACGAGATAATCGAAATAAATAAAAATTATTCAGAGTACCGGCCAATCTCAATTCTTTATCAAACTGATTTTTTTAACTCAAAGTGATTTATCCATACAAGTTAAAACAACCAAACTTCTTGATGGTATCTATGAATGCTTAGACATTTCAACGGAACTTCCGCAGGACAAGCAAAATATGCAGCTGTTCCGCAGGTTTTTCTTTACAATTACAAAAGTGAAAACGTTAGAAATGGGAACTTCGGCGGAGTTTTCACGTCAGACTGGCTGAAAACGGGAGCTTGCGCAGAACTTTTTAAACGTTGCGGAAATTTCGAATAATGCCAGTGGTTCCGCAGCACTTTGGCCTGCCAGTACATACTTCCGCCAGACAAAGTGTTGTCTCTTACTTTCTCGAACATGTCATCCGTAGTGCAGAGCATAGTGAGTGAGTGTCGCAATCAGTAGAGTAAGGCTCAATCTCGCTCAGACGTTCTTCTTTGCTGTCGTGATTCGCATTTTTGGAAGTCATGTGGGAACCTCCACAGCACATTTGCAGAACTTTCGCACGTGGCAAAACTTCCCCAAACGTTCTGCGAAAGTTCCTGTGAATTGTCTGAGTGATGCAAAACATGTATCAATCTGTACTCTGAGCAATCGTCTAAAGTGCCAATAGATGATCAATTGTTTTCCATTCCTCCATAATTTTTCCACATTTTTTCATTTACTTCAAATTTCATTGGATCTACGGTCTGATTGAACATACTACCTGTGATTTATTTCAACCTGTTGCCAGAATGTTGTCTCAATGGATGGCACGATACCAAAATTGCTCATCGCCATCATTTTCGGTTTACACTGTCCTACAGTAAAGACCTTGTCATCCTAGAAAATTGAAGGTAAATGTCGCTCAATGTTTCATGACTGCTGCTCATAGAGTTTTCAGTGGTGTGTCATCTCCACATCATAATCTGTAATGATTAATCGGTCCAGATCTCTGCAGCTGAATTACCGGAGTTTGCACGATTCTGGTGCAAACAATGATTCATTGCTTTTTCTCAAAGCGGTAGATGAAGTTCAGTGCATGTTGATTTTGTTCTCATCAAATTGAACAGTTTCCTCCCTTGGAGTTATTTACGCAAATTCCTCGATGATAGTAAATAGCTCCAAGCTTCCGGATGCTCTGAACAACAGCTATTAATTGGTGGATGAATTACCGCTTTTGTCTTTTCTGTCATTTTTGCAACTTGTTCTCGTTTATCGTTTATGTATATTTGCACTCAACACCTCTGATTCAGTAACTCACACAAGCGGCGCGCGGACCGCCTCTGTGACTGGGTATTTAGGGACTACCAGTTGACGAAGGTCATCTCTTTCCTATTCCACATCTTAATTGAAAGTTCCTTTTGATTTCATTTTTATATGTCACGTAAATTGATAATTTCCTCCTTGGATGAAACATATTTGCTTGTAACTTCAGCTCACAATCATGACTCCTTCGCCGCTTGACCTGGAAGAAGTCCACATAGACAGCATGGAATATCCTGTGAAATTGAAGGCTGTTAGTTTTCTGATTTATCTAAAATAAGAATTAATGAAAGGAATGAAGTTTACAGTTCAAGTCGTATTCCCTGCCGGAGGGTAGAAATCCTTATCGTCGCGAAAGTAAAATCATCAGGCTCAAGAACTCAGTCAGAAATGGCTTCCAAGGAAGTTTGAGGAGGTGAGCCCCAAGTTTGAACATGAAGTACGACATTTTCGATTGACATGTTCAGAATTTGAGAAAAACAAGCGGAACTTTGTATGGCCTTGAGATGATTTCATGTGCTATTTAGAGTTTTACATTATGTATGAATACAAAATACTGATTTAGATTGAGTTCTTATGCTGGTCGATTAGCAAAACCAGCTAATCGCTATATCAGATGGAATTTGCTATTTACTTTCTTGATATTTCTGTTCATTTCATCGTCCATATGGGTCCCGACCATCCCTGGTCTCAATGTGAGCACTATTTTTCTATCTTATTTTTATTAAAACCTAATGAAGACTCGTGGGGTAGAGTATTCAAAATGAAACCTGAGTGGCAAGATAACCACGTCGAGAAAACATGAGAAAAAATGGAAAACATATACAAGAAATTACAAAAATCTTCTCTGTTAGACTGCACATGTTTTAGTGCTTTTTTTCTTTCAGGATTTCGCTTTGGAAATTGTCACTATCATTTGCATAGTTCTCCATCTTCTGTGGATGGTTGCTGTCTTCAATGCTTTACGATACACATACCGCCTCAGACGTTATGCTTCTCATAAAATTGATCTCAGCAAGGTTTGTGCTAATTAACTTAGTACATACGCGATTGATAATCTACTTGTTAAGGTTGATAACCCCGAAAATATACAGGTAAAGCATTTGGTAGGTATATGCATATACAAAGAGCCTTTACAACTGATAATGGATACTGTAGATAGGTTTGTCATTCCAATAAAGGAACTTTTCAGGTACTTAACTGTTGTTTCAGTATTGCTTCGCAACCAGATGCTAAACAGAAAATCACATGCTTAGTCGGTATGGAAGAAGGTACACCTGATAAAGAAAAGGTATGGGGCAAAATGATTTTGGAAAATCTGAAGAAAGGGAGAAGCTGTAGAACCAAAATTGCTTGCAGAAGAAGCAAATTCTTCATGAAAAATACGAGTCACAATTTGACCGCTTCATAGTCACTTTTCATCCAAAAAATTTGCCAGGAGATATCCCAGGTGAGCCAGTGCAATTTCTTTTTTTTGTGATCTACTGAAAATTGTGGTACAGGTAAATGCTCCAATTTCAATTACGCCTGCCGTCAGGCAGTTAAACAACTACGACTCGATAAGGTTAGTGCCAAAATGATTGTGTAACCATATAATTTGTATTTTTTTAAGAACTACCCACTTGACAAATTTGGCAACAAAGTAGAGCTTCTTGTGACAACAGGAGATTGTGATTCCATATTCGGTGAGAGATATTTTGATGCCATGGAGGAGGACTACTGGAAACTTACAGCTGAGGTAACAAACACATTTTTATCCGTATTGAATTCTTTAGCAGATTTATTCTAGCAGCGACGCTCTACTGTATGGCAATCACCTCTTTTCTATTGTATCAATCTTGACAAGTCTCCTTTCTTTGTAAGAGTCACTGGTTTACTGAGGTATCTCACATTCTTCTCCAAGCGTACCATTCTTATTTTTCTATTGTGCAACTTGCAGAGCTTTCTTTATGATGGGATTCTTGATACCTTGGAATATCAACACAATGAGCATTTTCTCATTGACTTTGCCTTTGCTTGAAGCTGGTGAATATACGCATCCAGGCTACCAGGTACTCTATCCTTACAATTGTCAAAAGAACTCTAGGAGAATTTCTTGAGCACTCCATTGTCAATAGCAAACTGGATCATATTTTATACATCAGCAACGATCACAGTGCGGTTTACAAAGCCGCTGTGCTCTTCAAATGACCTATTAATCTGTTGTAGGGGCTCAATGCAAAAATATTCAACCTGATACAGATGGAAAACAATGCGTCATGTTGACAAGAAATTCACTTGCCTAGTCATAATCAAAAATATGTTTATTAGGTTGAAAATGTGGTCGTTATCAAAATGTTTTCGGAGTTCGCACCTAGTGTTTGTCAAGTGCGTAGGAGTTATACGTTCGTGATCCGTAAATCATCATATTTGAGCAAATTGCACAGTCTGTTGAAAACATTCATGAAAGTGACGTTGGAGATTTCTTTCCATTATTTAGTCCATTTTGAATTTTTGCCCAGGAAATACGCAAGCGATAGTTATCAGGAAACAAAAAAAAATTCATCACAGAGAAAAGGCCAGTAATAGGAAAAGTGATCTCAGTCTACCGTCATCATCGTATCAAATATAAAGATTTCAGCCTAACCTTTGATTCCCCATAGGCTAATTTTAATTATGAACTAAATAAGCATTGTTGCAATTTCTCCGCTGCGCTCCAGGACCCCCTTTAATCACATGAACTTCAGCTTGACTTCAACTGCCTGATATGGAAAATTTATGCCGAAAAATTGGAAATATCAGCATTCAGATCTCGTTAAAGTCCTAATTTTCGATTCTGTGACTGTGCTGAACTATGAAATATTTCCACATCGAAGTTTTTTTTACAGATGGACGATATAATTGCGTTAATCAGATGGTCGCTAGCTGTCAGACGAAAATGTATAATCCGTTCGATTCCGGTTGCCACTCTAAGTGGGCCAACGAGCGGTAAGTTCACCGAGGGACCACTTTTTCTTTGGCCTTTTGCAGCAAACCAAATGTCTGAATCATATGGTTGTTCTCATTGTGGACTTATCTCTTTGTTTAGGCAAAAATTACGTAGATGAATGGTACGAATGGGCACGACAGGTTCGTAGATGGACAATAGGTGCAGCTGAGGTGAGTATAATTGATACTTGTAGGCTTTTCTAATAAATTTTGTCGAAAATAATAAATAATCAAATTAATAATTAAATCCAATTTAGGTCTTCCATTACTTCGTCATCAAGTTCTTCCGGCTACCAGTCCTAGTGTCGTTTGCTTTCGCCTTCAAATTCATTTTCTATTACGGTTTCCTGCTTTGCATAGCATCTGTATACACTATTGTTGCTCCCCTTGTTGTAAGTTAGACTTCAGATAATTTTTTGGCGAATTTACTAAACAAAATGTTTTAGACACCAGCCATGTTGAGCGCGGTTGATCATGGAGTTTGGGGATTGGTGATTCCATCTGGAGATGTGTTCACATGGATTATGCTTGGCTTCCTTGGCTTGCAGTATATTTGGTTCTTCTTTGTTTTTCTTGTAAATTATTTATGTGAACCGGTAAGTTCTTGCTTTTTAGTAACATTTACATGTACATAATAATCAGTTTCATTCAGGTTTTCCCGGCTGGTACAAAGGACAAAACTGGCTTTATTCGTAACATATTCCATCTTTTAATGACGTGGCCCACAATAACCATGTACTGCATAGTAGAATTAGTAGCTTTCTTAGAGGTATCCAAACTTAGATCTTTTCTATCTCAGCAGCAAAAAATTGTCCTTCAGGTTACTGTACGTGGAAAAGCAGTGTGCTCACACAATGCTTCCAAGAAGGATAATCTTGTTGCTCCAGTCACTAATATACCAGACAGAATGGAGGTTTAATTACGGGATGTGATAAGAAAAATTGCGGGTAGCTTTGGGCATTATAGTGAGATATCTGATGTTCAATAAAAAGTTTTTGAACGGTATTGTATACAGCTATCGAGAAACTGAAGTATTGAAAGCAATACTTCGAATCACTGCAATCACCTTTCCTGAAAAGCGTGACTGATATAGAAAATTGGCTAGATGAAGCATCATTTGAGGTAGCTGTGGTTAATATTAGATTGTCAGATCAGGGTTTGGCACAGCTGGCACCGAGTCAAGCTGCATACCGTTTCTGGGAGAAAAAGCAAAGGGAATATTGTTTTTGTGGCCGAAAAGACACAAAAATTGCGACGTTTTTCAGTCGATTTCTAAAGGTTTCTTACAAGGAAATGGTCAGAAGTCGAAGTGGCCAAACCAAACAAGCTGTGTACCATTCAATTCAGTGTAAAACGCTGACTTCGGATCAGCCTTTCTTATCTGCTTCTCGCTTCTGTAGACGAAGCTACAAGCAATTTTATTGTGGTAAAATCGTACATAAAAACTGCGAGATTGAGTACATTGTTGCACTTTTAGCTCAGCCTTAGGCTTTAAAAATTCAAAGTAAGTAAGCTGTATGTTTTGGCCCAGCATTAAGCCGAACGTGGCTCTGTACGGCCAAATTTTTACCTCCACGCATAATTTCCTAGCAAAATAATTCCTTTTGATAACTTATAGCTTCGTTCAGAAAAGCGATAAGCAGATAAGGAAGACAGATTTGGACTCAGCGCTTCATGCTGCATCTAACAGTGTGTAGCTTGCCTGGTTTGGCTACTTCGATTTCTGACCATTCCCTTGTTAGATTTAGGGCTTGGGGTCGAAGGGCTTCGTACGATATTTCCAAGATCAAAAGGGCTTCGTTATGAAATTTCCCCTGGTGCCAGCTCGTGCCGGGTCTCGTGTCATTTTTGGGCCGCAAATATGCACAATTGAATGAAATGGAACCAGGGCTTATATCCTTTTTTTCATTATTATGCTAATAAATCTCATATCGCACGTGCAAATTCAACGCGACAATCGACATTTTTAATATTACACACTTGTTTAATAATAAATTTAATAGGTACTGAAGCATAGACCTGAAATCTTGTAAAAAAATATTTTATGAAATTATATTCACTGCAGAGTCTGTACGCTACAAAACGTGTGATTCTGTTCAATCAGCGGTACTTTGCGCAAGGGTAAATTTTCCTGTTTCGTCGACCTTATGTTTCAAGCTCAGAGTGCCTTACGATTCGTTTCAGGAACACCGTAGATTTAAGAGCAAGACGAAAGCGTGGTTACACACAAAGCTTGTTGAAATGTGGGGTAGAAATTTGCAATTATCGTGTAAAGCTTTTGTAATATTTTCTGGAATTCTGAGCATGCAGAAATGCGAACGGCAATACTTGTTCCCACCATTCGATTCTTCAAACATTAACTTTTGATTGTCTGCCTCTTGGGACCAAGACTTTTCACGGACCAGTCAGCATTTCTTAGACAAATCACGCGTATTGCCATTTGCAGTATACCTACAGTAGCTGTGGAAAGCGGACAAAGAAGATAGAGGTCATTTCTAGACTCACAGTTAAAGAAAACTTCTGAAATGAGTTTGTACCTGGGTAGTCGTCATTTCATGAAGTTCAGGCCTTGACACACATGGTGTGTCAAGCGGTCGTCAATGTGTCGGATAGACAACTTTTGATTGTCAAATTTTCGAACTTGTGTAATTCCCGATTCGATAGGTATTTAGATTGTGTGAACTTCAAATATATTGATTTGAAAAGCAAAAGGAAATCAAACGCTATATATTCCTCCCAAATGTTGGGTTGATGCGCAATTCTTGCACTAAAAAGATAGAACAAAAATGTTTTCACAATGCTAAAACGAAATAATCAATTTACAGAGTTTGCTCTTTGTTATGTATATCAGAAGAGTATTTTATAGTGCGCTATTCAATCAATATGATACAAAATCAATAAGTCAATCGAAAGATCAAAATTTAACTATTCGCAGAGACATCCAATCATCACCGAGTCAAAAAAGAACATGTCATAAAATCAAATCCAAAAATAAATTCAAAAATTTTAGCAGCTTTAGTGAACGAAAATCGAAAACCTTTTGGGTATTTTCTTATCAGCTTATATCGTTGCCATACGTCCTTGAGGAATTTTGACTCGAGCACATGCAGAATGCGCAAGTTTTTCTCCATCATGTATCAAATCAAAAGATTTCATGAAAGCTGGAGGAAGTAACAGAATTTCAAAAATTTCGCTGCAAGAGTTATGCATGAACCTAATATCTTTGGAATAGACCGTTACAACTACACTGATTTCAACTTCGAAGCTCAAATTTTTTCTAGGATAAGTGTGAAGATAGTTTCCAGCTAATCACTGCACAAAGAAGAACCGATAAAATTTGGATCATGTATTTGTTGTAACTTGATACTTCCACAATTCTAAACATATGATTGAATAAGCTAGGAGGCATTGATAACGATAATATAGACGTAATTTTTTAATCTTATATATAAAGCTGAGTGTCTGTTTGTCTGTCTGTCTGTATGTCTGTATGTCTGTCTGTCTGTACGTATGTTCCGAATAGAAAATTCCATTTCTGAACCGATCCGGACCAAACTTGGCACACATACACTACGGGCCCCGGCGGGTGTCATAGGCTACTTTTCGTCATCGATCGATATCGATTTTATCGATTTTTTGCAAAATTTGAGCTACGGGGCTGGGAGTTGGCATAGGGGGGTAATCGAGCATGCTGATTACGAATACAACATTAGTTTTTGAAATCGTGCATTACTTTTATCGATTTTATCGATTTTTTTGCAAAGTTTGAGCTACGGGGCTGGGAGTTGGCACAGGGGGGTAATCGAGCATGCTGATTACGAATACAACATTAGTTTTTAAAATCGTGCATTACTTTTATCGATTTTATCGATTTTTTTGCAAAGTTTGAGCTACGGGGCTGGATTTGGCACAGGGGGGTAATCGAGCATGCTGATCATCCCCGTGGGGGTGATCAGCATGCTCGATTACACCCCTCTGCCAAATTCCAGCCCCCTAGCTCAAATTTTGCAAAAAATCGATAAAATCGATAAAAGTAATGCACGGTTTCGGAAACTAATATTGTATTCGTAATCAGCATGCTCGATTACCCCCTGTGCCAAATCCCAGCTCCCTAGCTCAAATTTTGCAAAAAATCGATAAAATCGACATCAATCGATAACGAAAAGTGGACTGTGACACCCGCCGGGGCCCGAAGTGTATGTGTGCCAAGTTTGGTTCGGATCGGTTAAGAAATGGAATTTTCTATTCGGAACATACGGCGGAGCCGGGTAAGCCAGCTAGTTTGAGTATAAAAGCAGTTATGCTGATGTGGCACTTCCGAAGCAATATCGCGTTTGTGTTACAGTGGAAAAAAATAGTGAGTTTTCCAAAGGATTTATACTACCAATGCAACACGCAGCACAGTTTTCTCCAACCTAGAGCTTGGTTAGGAAAGCTGAAAAGTGTTACAAATGCAGTTTCGGTATTGCCCTACGTTTCGTTGGTTTTTGAGTAGTGCTGCTGCTCCAATTAAAACCCTTTTTTCTTGTCACATTAGCTTTCATCCTGTACTGACGGCAATGTGAAACGATTCTGAAAATATTCTAAGATAGAATCCAGCTCCACCGGAAAGTAGGAATTATGAGAGCAAAATATCTGTACATAAATAGTAAGAACTTCCCAAAACTTATTTTATTTATTTTATTTCATGCAATCATAGATGCTGCTAACGAACGAGCTGTACTCTAGCTGCTGGAGACGCCGTCTACAATACCATCGGTGCCGCCTTTAAAATTTCCGAAATAAACGCGATGTCGCGTTGAAAGCGCCGCAACCTCGTAACTCCCTTCAAAATCATTTTTGAGCAGAGCGGAACACAGATTCGGATTCAGCGCCCTACAATCTATCTAAATCCATAATTTTTTTTTCGGAAACTCAAATTTTTCACAATACTGGTGACGTCACGGTAAACAGCCACGGTCATAGGCTTTTTAGCTTTTAAGTCGCTGTATGGCCGGTATTCAATGAGATTTGCGGGTATAAATCATTAAATACATCGAAAAGATCTTATTCCCTGTTTTTCCACGTAGTTTTGGCGGTCTAGAACTTTTTTATTTCAAATATAAAAAATTTATTCTAGGTCGTGAAGTTCAAACTTTGAAGGTTCGTAAAATCATGAATTTGTCTTCTTAGACGAACTGTTCTATGCTAGCGGTTAGAACAGAAAATTCTCTATGGGAACGATATAAATTTACCTACTTGTATGGGTTTTCACGCGAGATATCTGAGCCCGAACTAAGGTGCTCATGCTGCCAGGTGCTCTGATTGCCTGTGGGATCATTTTCAAAATACCATATCTTAAGGATGGTCATGATCACGTGCCAAAGTTTTTGCACAGTAATAAAATAGGCTTTGGCAATTAAGATCTGCATGTGTATGAGTGCTCGTCAAGGAAACTAACCGCACTGGCAGAAACGAGAAATGCAGAATTGCAGAATTACGACTTGATTTTTACCATTTTTTGGGATCTCACCAACCATCACAATTTTTGAATATTCGGACTCTACATGCGATAAGCTTTGAAAGAATATATAGTTTGCTCCCTCTATCAGCATAGGACAAGGAGTTGATTTATTATATGCGTCAATTTGATTCACTAAGGGAGCTCGGGTGCACCTGCACCCAGCTGTGGCACAGGCATGTTCGCACCTCTCAGTAGCAAAGGCGCGAACCCTGTCTTATGGATAGCAAGACCATCGATCGACTTCACGGAACAACTCATCGTTGTGACTGAGTTAATCACAGCTGTACAGAATTTCAGATCTAGTGGCCAAAATTTGACAAAAAGTTTCCCGTTTCAACAGCAATCACCTATTTTTTCCTGTTTCAACCATCGGTTGATTTTATAGGATTTGTTCTTTTAAGCGGGTTGATTTATGTCAATTCCAGTTACTATTGTTCCTTCCAACTTGGAAGGAACAATAGTAACTGGAATTGACATAAATCAACCCGCTTAAAAGA